GTTTACCTTAAAGGAGAAGGAAGGGGCTAGAGTGACTGGGATAGTACAAGAAAAGCATTGTTGACACTGTTTGATTTCTTGACCTGGTGGTGGTTCTATGAATGTTTGCTTTCCAATAATTCATTAAGCTATAATTATATTTTTGTGCATTATCTATATATTGGTTATATTTCATAATAAAAAGTCATTTAAAAATACAATACTCAAAATTAACAATTCAGTGATGGAGATTAATCATAATGAGGAGAAAATTAGTGAACTAAATGATGAATCAGAATAAATTATGCAGAACAGTGCATAGACAAATAGATGAAAAGAAAAACAGGTAAAAGACAGATAATTCAACAAGAAGATTTATGTTAACTGAAGCCCAAAAACAGAAGAAAGGGAATGAGTTGAAATAATATTTGAAGAAATAATAAGTGAGAATTTTCTGGAATTAATGGAAGAAATCATATCATAGATTCATAAAGACTTCAGTGAAGCAAGATAAATTAAAAGATACCCAAACTAGACACACTATAGTGAAATTTCAGAAAAACAAAATCAAAGAGGAAATTTTAAGTAGCCAGAAAACAAAACTAACTTATGCTGATTAGAATTAGGATAGTTGTGCAGCACCTGGGTGGCTCAGTCAGTTGAGTATCTGACTCTTGGTTTTGGCTTAGGTCATGATTTCTGGGTTGTAGGACTGAGCCCTGCATCAGGCTCCACACTCAGCACGGAGTCTGCTTGAGATTCTCTCCCTCTGTCCCTTCCCCCCCTCAAATAAATAAATAAAATCTTAAAAAAAAAAAACGTGGGGCGCCTGGGTGCCTCAGTTGGTTAGGTGTTTGCCTTCAGCTCAGGCCATGGTCCCAGGGTCCTGGGATCAAGCCCCGCATCAGGCTCTCCACTCAGTTGGGGGTCTGCTTCTCCCTCTGCCTCTTTGATCTCTCTTGCTTTCACTCTCTCTCAAATAAATAAATAAAATCTTTAAAAAAAAAAAAAAAGAAATACTTGTGACCTGGATAGAGAAGGAAGGAAGTAGTGCCTGGAGAAGACATAAGGGAAGCTTATGAAGTGATTTTAATGTTCTCTCTCTTGACTTACATGGTGGTAACATGGAGTTGTTTAATTTTTTAAAATACACAGAGATGTATTCTTATGAGATATACACTTTTCTATATGTCCATTTTATGTCAGTAAAAAGCTGAATGGAAAAAAAAAGATGCAGAAATAAAAAAATAAGTGTATAAAAGAGCAGCAACTGGACTGACACCTGACTTCCCAGGAGCACAATGGAAGCCAGAGGGCAAAGCAATGTTACCTTCATTTTGTTAGAAGAAAACAATTGCCAACCTAAAATTCCATATATAGCAAAAATATCTTTCAGGGATGACAGCAAAAAAGACACTTTCATGCAAACTAAAAATGAAATGTTTTGTCTACAGTAGATCCTCACAAAAGGAAATCCTAAATAATACACTCCAAGAAGAGAAGAGATCCCAGATAAATGGCCAGGTTTGCAGAAGAAAAGGAAGAACAAAGAAAGTTATAGGTAAATATAAACCTAAATGAACACTGAACAATAATTATGTCTTGTGATGTTTAAAAAATATATAAAAAAAAATAAATGAATAAATAAATAAAAATATGTTAGAGTTAATACACAACAATGTTAGCATATAAGATAGAAGGGAATAACCAGAGATAAGTATTGTAAGGATGTGTACTACCTAGAAGAAGAATACAAGTATCAGATAATGTTAGACTTCAACAAATGTCTATGATAACCACTAAAAAGTGAGAAATACGATGTATAATTTTTAAATTATTAGAGGGAAATAAAGAAAGGATAAACGTAATTAATCCAAAGAAAGAAAAGAAAAAGAAAGACAAAAGCAGTAAGACAAATGGCACATATTAAGATGGTAGATTTAGGGTGCCTGGGTGGCTCAGTCATTAAGCATCTGCCTTCAGCTCATGTCATGATCCCGGAAGTCCTGGGATCAAGCCCCACAACGGGCTCCCTACTTAGGGGGGAACCTACTTCTCCCTCTCCAGCTCCCCTCTGCTTGTGTTCCCTCTCTCGCTGTCTCTCTCTGTCAAATAAATAAATAAAATCTTAAAAAAAAAAAAAAAGATGATGGATTTATACTGAAATATACCAGAAATTGCATTACGTGTAAATAGACTAAATATTCCAATTAAAAGGCAAAGGTTGTCAAACAAGATGAAAAGCAAAATGTGACCATATGATGTTTACAGAAGACACATTTAAACAAGAATTGAGAAACTTCCAAGTAAAAATGTATAAAAAGACATGCTATGCAAACACTAACCAAAATTAAATAGTGTAGCTTTACTAGTTTCACACAAAACAGACTGTAAGACAAAACATTAATAATTTATTTCATGATGCTAAAACATTTGATTCAACACGTATAATAATTCTAACTTTAATGCACTAATAACATAGCTTTTCTGTTTGTAAGGTTAAACATGAAATGAACTACAATGAAAAACAGACAAACCAATAAACTCAGAGGAAGTTTTTTTTTTTTTAAGAGAGAGAGCACTTAAAAAAAGAACTCTTTTTTTAAGAGAGGGAGCAGGAGAGGGAGAAGCAGGCTCCCCGCTGAGCAGGGAGCCCGATGCGGGGCTTGATCCCAGGACCCTGGGATCATGACCTGAGCCGAAAGCAGATGCGTAACGACTGAGCCACCCAGGCGCCCCTCAGAGGAAGATTTTAGCATATTTCTTCTCAGTACTAGATAGAAAAAGCATACAAAAAATCAGTAATAATTTAGAAGATTTAGAAGATTTAAATAACACAGACTTAATGGAATACTTTTCAAGCACACAAGCAATTTTTTTTCATTGACTTATACTCTGAGCCAAAAAAGAAAGTATCAAAAAATTTGAAGGGCGGGGGGGCACCTGGGTGGCTCAGTCAGTTAAGGGTCTGCCTTCAGCGGTTTAGCATCTGCCTCCAACTCAGGTCATGATCCCGGGGTCCTGGGATCAAGCCCCATATCTGGCTCGCTGCTCAGCAAGGAGCCTGCTTCTCCTTCTCCCTCTGCCTGCTGCTCCCCCTGCTTGTGCACATGCTCACTCTCTCTTTTTCTGTCAAATAAATAAATAAAATCTTAAAAATTTTTTTAAAGGGATAAAATGCTACATAGTATATATTCAGATTATAAGGGCCTTGCTTGGCCCCTGGGAACTTGGATTTCATGAGGGTTCCCTTCATCTCCAGACCTGATAAAGTGGATCAATGTACAAAAAGTTAAAAATAGGGGCACCCAGGTGCCGCCGTCAGTTAGGGGCAGCCTTCGGCTCAGGTCATGGTCCCAGGGTCCTGGGATCGAGCCCTGTGTCAGGCTCCCTGCTTCTCCCTCTGTGCCTCCCCCTACTCCTGTGTGCTCTCCCTCTCTCTTTCTCAAATAAATAAATAAAATCTTTTTTTAAAAAGTAAAAAATAGAGCTACCCTACGACCCAGCAATTGCACTATTAAGTGTTTATCCAAATGATACATAATGATCTAAAGGGGCACATGCACCCCAGTATTTATAGCAACAATGTCCACAATAGTCAAACTATGGAAAGCGCCTAGATGTCCATCGACAGATGAATGGATAAAGAAGATGTGGTGTGTGTGTATATATATATATATATATATATACACATATATATGCATATATAATGGACTATTACTAAACCATCAAAAAGAATGAAATTTTGCCATTTGCAATGACATGGATGGAACTAGAGGGTATTATGTGAAGCGAAATAAGTCAGAGAAAGAAATATATCATATGATTTCACTCACATGTGGAATTTAAGAAATAGAATAGATGAACATAGGGGAAGGGAAGGAAAAATAAGACAAAAACAGAGAGAGAGAGAAACCATAAGAGACTCTTAAGTATAGGGAACAAACTGAGGGCTGCTGGAGGGAAGATGGGTGGGGGGAAGGGATAACTGGATGATGGGCATTCAAGAGGGCACTGGATGGAATGAGCACTGGGTGTTGTATGCAACTGATGAATCACTAAATTCTACCTCTGAAACTAATAATATACTATATGTTAATTAAATTGAATTTAAATTTTTTTAAAAAATTAAATTTAAAAAAGAAAAGAAAGAAGATCAAACATTGGTTCTTTCTAAAGATAAATAAAATTGATAAACTTTTGGTGAGACTGATTACAGAGAGAGAGAGATCACATAGCAGGCCTGAGACTTAGAAAGGTCTGCTTGCAAAGTGAGCCCTTGCTTGGCCCCTGGGAACTTGGATTTCATGAGGGTTCCCTTCATTTCCAGAACTGATAAAGTGGCTCAATGTACAAAAAAAATTGTTTATGCTGAATATCTGCATTCCTTCTGGGATTCTGGAATTTTGGTAGAGCCAGGCAGAGGGTGTCTACATGAACATCACCCAATAAAAACCCTGGATGCTGAATCTCCTGAATCTCCTTGGTAGACAGTATTTCATGTGTGTTGTCACAGCTTGCTTTTGGAAAAAACAAGTGCATCCTGTGTGACTCCACTGGAAGAGGATTCTTGGAAACCTGTGACAGGTTTCCTCTGGAATTCACCCCATGTACCTTTTCCTTTGCTGATTTTGCTTTATATCCTTTTACTGTAATAAATCATAGCCATGAGTACAACTATATGCTGAGTGCTCTGAGTCCTCTTATTGAATCATGGAACATGGAGTGTCTTTAGGACTCCCAACACAGATGACAGATATAGATAGATAGATAGATAGATAGATAGATAGATAGATAGATAGATACAGAAAGAAGCAACAAATACTTTCAAAATCATGTTTATATTCATAGGATAAATGAATATGCATATATAATTATTTTATTTGTTTATTGTCAAAAAAGAAATTTATGTCTTAAATCTTGGCATGGAAATTAATATAAAAACAGTAATTTTTTTCTAAAAATGTAATCTTGGTCAAGAAACAACTTATTTTTTTAACTCAATATTGGTATTTACTCACCTTTAGTAACTTGATTTCTCGCATAGCAATTTTTTTAACCATTTTGTCATCATCACTTTCTAAGAACTTCTTGATGGCCACAATTCTTCCACTATCTTTATTCCTACACTTCATCACCATTCCATAGCTCCCTTCTCCAACCAATCCTAGGTTCTCATATTTTTCCATTTTAATTCAAAACCGGTAGGAATTCTTGCTGGGGAAACCAAAACACAGAGTTAATAATGTTGAGTATATTAATTTCTTCCACCCTCCCAGTAAATTAATTCTTCCGCACTTGTTTTCCATATTAGAGCAGTTGCTGTGTTAATGGCTGTTCTGTTCTGACTCACAATTTCTTACTGTTCCTGCATCTAAGCTATGTTTTCAAATTATTTCATTTAGACAAGACATTTCATAATAGACAATAATTAAAGCCATTAAATTTAAATTATTAAATGTCATGTTAATGAAATTCAATATATATATTTTTTTGTAGTTTTTAATTTTATTATATTATGTTAGTCACCATACAATACATCATTAGTTTTTGATGTAGTGATCCACGATCCATTGTTTTCGTATAACACCCAGTGCTCCATGCAGTACGTGCCCTCCTTAATACCCATCACCGGGCTAACCAATCCCCCCTCCCC